TAAAACGACCGCGAACCGTACAAACGAATTTAACAAGTCAGTTTCAAAGATAAGAAACGTGTTTACTATCTGTGAATATAAATAGTAACATGCAATTAAAATAATACATTTTTGATACAATGTAGTTAGTATATAACGAAATTTAATGTAAATGCCACGACATGTACAAGACTATATTCTTTTAATTTATGAATTTCATACTAGCTCTTGCTTCCCTTACTCTTTAATATGTAAACATAGTTTTTAGAATTACACACGTTCGTACTAATGTTCGAAATTTTTTGAATGATAAAATTAATTCATACTTCATTAGATGAATGAAAACAATAAATTCTACATATGTATATTGCATACGATAATGTTTTCTTGTTCATTTTGGGTTATCTAATGTCAGAAGCCACTGTTAACACTATGCGGTCAAAGTTGCGTACAGAGAATAATTAAACCTTAATCCTACACAATAAGTGTTATATTTCCTCAAATTAATTGACACTCATTAGTCCTAACAAATTAACTCTTAACATATTTTCCACTATGGACTTGACCTCAGTTATTTTTACATTCAATTTAATTATCGTAACATGATCTTTTGTGATTAGAAATATAGTAATTTTAACTCACCGATTGTATTTAAAACTTTGTTGTAAGAGTTATTGTGAGCCACTTTCTGTTTACTTTTATGTCGGACATAAAACTAAAAGGAAATCTCAGGGAAAATGGCCAGATAGCGCGGAGCACCGCTCACATTACAATCAAGAAGCTACTTAACAGTTACATTACCTACAAATAACATTAAAATGTGTGCTTGCATTAACTTACAACTAAAGTTAAGTTAAGTAATAAACCTTTTACTTGAAACAGTTGCTAACGAAAGAAGTTTTTCTATAGAGTAATATCGCAGTAGTACTAGTCGTGAATTTACAAAATCCTGAAAGAATGAAACTGTAACATTTTAAACAAGAAATTAGACAAGAACCATACTCTGTGGATATGGAAAACTTTTAATTATCTATGGTCATGGACATAAAAGTTTATTTCAATGTACATGTAATGGTCAATTACATGGAGTCGTTTCGTCTGTTAATTTCGTATGCCACACTGGCACACAAAATATCTTTTGGGTAAGATTTACATACAAATATCTAAAAGTAGAAATACACGAACACAGATATAAAATGTTATCACATATCTTAGCAGCCATAGTGACAGGCGAGTTACTGATAAATCGACACACGATTTGTATGTCCGATAGAGAGAGATAGCAAAGATCGTACAAATTAAATGTAAACAGAATAAAAAAGTAAATTGAAATATAACATGATCAACATTAGCAGCTCACTAAAATTATGTCTCGACTGAGGTGGCAACTAGGCTATAGTTAACCAAACTGCTCCAGTATCGGTTTATTTAACATATATCTTTGCATTTCTTCGCAGATACGTGCAGGTTGCATCACAATGTTTTCTTTCACTGTAAAAATATCGGGTGCATGTGATGTAAAATTGGAAATTGTGGACCGATTCACTGGACGTGTATTAAAGTCGCATCAAACGATTAACAATTGCGACACCGAAGCTTTGAAGTGAAAAAGATCGCGTTTAGGTAAAGATTACTCGATTACGGATAATTTGTTTTTTTTTACCGAAGACGGATGTGTCCCGCGGGCACGCCGGGGCGCTGCTGGCGACGGACCTCGTTTGCATAATCGACATCCACAGAGCTACTCGATAAATAACCCTAAGTAAGAATCTATCTTTTGTGCAGACTATCTGTACATTCTTTCAGACTATATTATACATCTGTGCAAAATTTCATCGAGATCCGTGTATTCGTTTTGAAATTACGTAGTAATAAACATCCATTCATCTAATCCTTTCCCAATAATATTGGTATGATAGTTATTTGCTTGACATCTCTTGATTATTATGTGTATTTTGTCAAAGTCGGCAATTCAATTAAAAGCGAGGG